CCTGGCCGAGAATGACCCGTCAACCACCACTCTCTGGGTGCAGTCCCTAATCCAGTTAGCCACCCACCTGACTGTGTAGGCATCCACTCCACAGCCTGTTAGCTTCCCTATGAGAATAGGATTGAAAACTGTGTCAAAGGCCTTCCTAAAATCCAGGTAAATGACATTGGCCTCCGCTCCTGTGTCAAGGCAGTGTGTGACCTGGTCATAAAAGGCTATAAGGTTTGTCAGGCAGGATCTACCTGTGATGAACCCGTGCTGGTTTCCTTTCAGCATCATTTCCCCTGCTGGGCTTTCACAAATACGCTTGTTGATGATTTTTTCTAGTATTTTCCCAGGGATAGAGGTAAGAATGACTGGCCTAAAGTTACCTGGCTCCTCCCTCCTCCCCTTCTTAAAAATGGGCACCACGTTGGCCTTTTTCCAGTCCTCAGGGACCTGTCTGGAGCACCATGAGACCTCAAACAGCCGTGCCAGTGGCTCAGCAAAGACAATGGCCAGTTCCTTTAGCACCTGTGGATGGAGGTTGTCCAGGCTGACTGACTTGTACCCATCAGCCCTTCCAAGTGCTCTTTAACTAGATTTTTCAAATTAATTGGTTAAGCGAAAAAAAACCCACTAGAAGCCTGATGGGATGACTGGTGTCAGCCCAGTACATAGGAAGAGGGAGCTGGGGGAACCCTAGGGAGGGGATATCTATCTGAAACTTTACAGCAGATTTGCCTAATTAGCTCTGCAGTAAAGTCTCTGTGTTTACACATGCAGTCCTATTAGGTTTCAGTAAACAAATAAACACTGCTGTAGTTTAGTACTTGTAAATACAAGTACTATCCTGCGGCAGCGTTATTTACTGCACAGCAACGCACATGCAGATGTTGATGGGGCTGGCTGGGGCATAAGGGTGCTTCAGTGTGGGAGCTGTTTGCCAGAAAGCCCTATAATGAAGCACCCTCATGCCCCAGCCAGCCGCTCGGCAGGACAATGAGTCAGATCAGAGCAGCCCCAGGCTGCCAGGCTGACTCCCTACCCAGACCCCACTGCCAATCAGGCTGCTCTGACCCAGCTCAACATGCTGCAGGTACATACATAAATGTGGCACCCAGGAGCAATAAACTCTGGCACAATATTGTGCTGGAGTTTATTGCTTTGCATTAATTACACGTGTAGATGTACTCATAAAGTACTCTATAAGGTGCCTAAACTCTGACTCTTACCTAACCCACAGCCACCCAGAGTTGCAGTTTATATGGAAAAACCAGGTTGATGAATAAATGGGAGCCAGAAGAAATTCAGCTGATAAAATGTAAAAAAAAAAAAAATCTCCATCAAGCATATTCCAACTACAGGGTTCTGGTTTTTTTTTAATGTCAAATTAGACTAAATTTGGGCATCGAGATGATAAAAGGATGTAAGCCACTCCAGCTGCCCCAACTAAACTGTAAGTTCTCTCTCCAAAGCATGGGGGACCTATGACATTAAACCCCTTCCTGCACCAAAACAAAACAAAACAAAGCAATTCTGGTGACTCTTATTTTCCTTGCCTAGTCTTTGATTCCTTTTCTTCCCCTACTAGTCACATTCGTGGAAATGCCTGAACCAGGTGAATGGATAGTTTTACAAAAAAGGGTAGAATTTCAACTCAAAAAGTTAGTTTGGCAATGTTCTAAGCAACTGAAAACTGGATCATAAAAATGGAAGAGCTACCAAACTCAAGAGACAATTCTACCAACGCCATTTAGAATATCCTCATACTGCTGACAATAAACTAGGTACTTTCCAAACTTTAGAACATAAAAAGTGCCATACTGGGTCAGACCAATGGTCCAGCTGACCCAGTATACTGTCCTTGATACTGGCTGGGGTGGATGCTTTTGATGCATAGCGCTGGACTGGATATATGTAGAGAGGTGGTTCTCAACCTTGTCAGACATGAGGCACCACCCGACAGGCTTGAGACACCTCACAGAAAATGCCAGCTCTTAATTATGGTGTTTTTTTGGCTAAAGAAAAGCAATAGAGCAATTATTCTGTTGGCAAAGATCTCAAAAAGAACACAACAGGTCAAAATGTTTTTCATGCTTTGGATTCCTATTTGAAATCTCTGGGTTTATCTTGTGAATTTGGTTTTCACATCTAACAGTGCTAAAATTGTATGGTACCCTGGGGCACCCTTGAAAGCATCTCAAGGCACCCATAGAAAGTGATCCATCCCCTATTCATTACCCTCCCTGGCATCTACTTTTATTGGTTTAGAGATGCCAGAGGACATATCTCTAAACTCTTATGGAAAGATACAACTTCTCAGAAACAAAAAAATTCTCATGGTGGATTCTAACAACAGGAACTGAACTGAGAAATGTAATCTTGAAAGGAAGTTAGGCAGATTAAACTGCTGCAGGGTTTTTAGAAATCAAATATTTCGTAGCATAGCCAGATAAAATGACCTCGTTTTGGAGGGTACTTTAGGCTTGGAGGGTACCCAGAAGTTCAGCTATGAATTTATTGACCTGAATGTCAAGCTGTCCACAAAAGAAGCTTTTTAGAAGATTTTAAAATCACCCTTTGTTTCTGGCCACATTCAAGGGCTTTTAAGGAAACTATGTTTTCTGCCTATAACTCCCCAGGTTCTAATTGCTTATAATAGTTTTTTACCATGCCACTACAGTTGAATGAAGGTTTGTAAGAGTGCTACTACTATAAATCTATTGAAAGATTTAGAATTCTTGATTCTAAAAAAAATCATTTCACATTAAGCAAAGATGCAGAGGCTTAGCCACCCCCAAAATTACAAAATGTGTATTCAATCAATATAGCAATTTTCTTGGTTAAAGTGAAGCACATCAAATAAAAACTTTTCCAGTTTGAGGTACATTTTTGTTATTCTATTGTACTGCTATACACAGACACAAAAATATATTCACACATACTTGCACGTACAAGTACATAAGTGATATGCAACATATCAGTCTTGGACTGGATTTAGGAGATGATGCATATCAACTTTGTTTGCTATGGCAAAATGTTGAAAATAAACTGAATAATGTTTATCCTTATTATTGTACATTTGTATTAATGATGCATTAGTAGAAGCCTTATTAGAATACCCATTGTAAAGAGATATCTGAGCCATTGCTGAATGGAAACTGTCTTTTCCATTTACACTACCACTTACTAATTGCATCATTTACCTAATTTGAATTAAGTTTACATTAATTTGTAAAGTGCTTTGAAGTCCTCATAGTAAAACAATAAAAAGGTAAAAAAACCAAAAAACCTAACACATCAATTTGTTAATGTAATTTCTTAAATGTATGGAGTTCAACAGTATTAGACCCCACTTTGATGCAATAGTTTATAATAGCTTAGAATAAAAAAAAACATTCAAGTAAGGAAGACCATATTATAAGACACCTCATACACAAAAAAGGGAAGAAAAAATACATGAATAGGAAACTAGACCTTGATTCAGCTGATGGGTGATCCCAGGCTTTAATCAATTTGTACACTGAAAAGATCTACTTACATGCAAGTTTGCATATACTGTTGATATGGGACTAAAGCAAAACATCAACATCAGATAAGACTTTGATTAAGCAAGTTTTTTTGTGGAACAGTTATTAAATTCTTGTATTTAATGTTCTGTCAATTTCAGACCTGAAAGTGGTGGAAGCCACATCTCATAGGACATCTAAAACACCTCACCTAACACAGGGAAAATAAAATAAAATAAGGGGTAATCTATTTGTACAACATGTTTCAAATACTGGAGAAAGTCATTCAGTTGTTTTTTTTTTTTTTATTATACCCACTTCTAAATCAACCTACACTGGTAAGTGATTGGTTTAAATGACTGAATTAATCAAAAGCAGCTGCCATTTAATAAGACGGTGTAGAGTGATGCACTATCTAAAACAACATATACAGGCTTTTTTAACTACTGCTTCCTTTAGTGCTCACAACCAAGGCATGCGTAATAGATAAAATATATCCTTTGCCTAGATTTAATGAATGAAATTCAAAATTGGTTTTCTTTAGAGCAACAGAGAAAAGATCAACCCCGGGATTTCTACTACCATTTCAAAAGCCAGTACTTTCATTTTTGTAAACCTTATCAAAGCCCTTGGGATTGAAATATCACCATGCAGTATAGGTAGCCATTTTAAAATATAAGCAGGAAAATAACACTTAAATCATCACAGAGTAAGTAGCTAGCAATGACTCAACATTAAAGCAGTAATCAGAAAAGACGACAATAAGAGAATGATTAGTTGTGAAAGAAAAATGGAAAAAATAAGGTGGCTCTATATCATCATCACATCATCATCCATTACTTTATAATGTAATGAAATAAGGTGTTAATACTTAGAAGGCAAGAAAACAAAACAAAACAAAATAAAACAAAAAACCCACAAGGTGTAATTTTTGTAAACACTGTGGAAAACAACAAAATTGGGCACCCGTTTACTATGAAAGAAGAGGCACTAGAACAAGGGCAGGCAAAATACAGCCCATCAGCTGGATCTGGCCCACCAGACACTTTCATCCAGCCTATGGTGTTCACCAATCAATTGTACCCTGCCCAGCCTTTCTGAGGATGGGGGCAAGGTGCCCATGTATACACACATGGGTGGAAGGGCCCAGCCCAGCCAGCTTCCAGGCAGGGCTGCTGCTGCTGCTGCTGCTGCTGCAGTCACCACATACTTTATCAACTTGCCCGGCATCACTCTCCCTCCAGGCAGCAGTTAGGGAAGTGGTGGGGGCAGAAGTGGAGCTACAGCTGGGCGGGAGCTTGGAGCATGGGGCTGGAGACAGTGCGGAGCTTGGGTGGGCAACTTGTGGGTGTGAGGGAGGATGGGGGGGTATGGGCCCCCCCACAGTTCCCCTATGGCACGCAGCCCTGGCATGCAGCAGCAGCACGATGGAGCACTCAGGACACTTGTGCAGTTCCAGCCAGCACTCCACACTGCAGTGTGGGGTGCAGCCCCCACTGGGCCATCTCTATCACCAGTGCTCTCCATCGTGCATGTGAAGCCCCTGCACTCATATGGGGTGGTGGGAGGGAAGCCCCACACACTGGAACTGACTTCCTTCACAGCAGGGGGCAGGAAAGGTAGCTGGCTCCGGTGCGCAGGGCTTCCCTCCCATGCTGCGTAGGTGCAGGGAGGGACTGTGCATGCATGGCAGGGAGTGCCAGCAATTGAGATGCCCTGTTGGGGGCTACATTCCTCACTGTGATGTGCAGTGCTGGCCAGAGCTATGTGCCATTGGGCACCATCACCTGTGCCAGGAATGATGCTGCTGCACTATGGGAGGGGAGGAGTGTGGGGGAGGCCATACCTCCCACCCTCCCTCACACCCCACAAATGCAACACACCCACACCCTGCCCCCACAACTGCCCACTTCTACACCCCCCAACATACTCTATGCCTCCCACACACAGCTAAACCCCCTCACAAACCACCCCCACACACGCATACCCCCCACACTCCACTATACACACACACACATATGGCCACACCCCCTACACAATATACAAGACTAAACTTTATTTTTGAGTTATTATGTAGTCACCTCTATACACAGTATGCAAACACAAAACATAACAAAAATAATTTTGGTAATGAAATTAAAATATGTTATGGTACGTGTTTGACCTTTAGTGTAGGATTTGGTTTTTTTTCTGGTTCTAAGATGGCAATCCCCCCCCCTCCCCAAAGGAGTATTTCTGGGAAGGGTCAAGGAGAAGGACTTCCACTGGCAAAGGTCAGTGGTTAGGGGTGGGACTTCCAGTCCCATGGTAGTGACCAGGGGGCAGAGCAACTGTCAAGGGGCAGGGCAACCCATGCAACCCTGGAAAGCTCACCAATAAACTCATTAAGCGGCCCTTCACCCAAAATTTATTGTCCACCACTGCACCAAAAGTTATTCTGTTCTAGATTAAGTTCACCTGTGTTTATTTCTGATATGTTCATAAAGAATAGATCTGTACATCAAAAGGTCAGCTTTACTTCAGACAGATACAAGAACTTTTCAAACATACCACAAATAATACTGTTATTTTTTTCAACACTAAGACAGCCAGAAATCTGAACAACGCAAGCAAAGGCCACCTCCTTGAGGGGAACATGTTAGGTTTATTGATGAGGGGATACTATGGGACTATGAATGTAACAGGATTGTGCTTCAGTAGATGCCACATCCACATATGCTTTTGATCATTAACATCAGTCTTTCTTGGGTAGTGGAACCCCTGGAGATGGAGATGCAAAAAGACAAATGAAGATATATATTATCTATAATAAGAAGAGATGCATTACAATCTGCCTTTTTATTCTTCCTCTGCAGCTTTGTTAAAGGGCTTATAATCTGACACAAGAATTGACTCTTAACAAATTTGTTTAACAAAATCTCAGAACAATCTATTGGACATTGCAATGCCAAGAATGGAATTCAAAATATAATAGAATAAGGAAACAGAGCTAGGAAAACAACACCTATTGAAAATGTTCTGTATATTTTTTATTCTTGATTATCATACTGATAACACAACTTTGCAGAACATAATGCATAGACTTTTACTGCACAAGGAGTGTATGCATGCAAGTAATAAAACTAAGAGCATAGCTAGCTTGATGCAATGTTTCACTGTAATACAAAACAGATAGTAATAAGCAAACACTGAATCAAAGCTCCTCTGAAATCACTGGTGCATCCAGTATAGGATACAGAAAACGGATTTTTCTTTTGTCACAGAATACTGTGATTTACAATTTCTCAGAATGCAGAGTATTGTAGATGCTATTTTGATAGACTGAAGGTGGTCACATTTATTGAAAATGAGTTGATTTTTATAGGCCTCTGCTAGCCAATCAGAATAGAATTTTGGAGTTATTTAGAAGGCAAATCTATTTTTTTATATTTGTAAAACTTGAAAGGGGTAATAAATGAAAATCCAAAGCAAGTCAATTCCAATAAGGAATTTCAGGGCACAATCATATTCTTTCACTGGAGGCCTCCAAGTAACATGTCATTGACAAACAGTGACCTCATCTGAGAAAAGTGATTTGATTTTTCCTTTCAGACAAACGTATAATGAACAGCAAGGAAGGAGAGAACAGACAGAATGACTAAGATTGCAAAAATATTAAGTGAATCTCTCTCTCACCTTTCATATTACTTAATTTCATGTTAAAGATTTTAGTCAGCATTAAAGAGTTAAACATTGATACTGTACCAAAAAAGTGTATTTCATTCCAAAGTGCTCTAGCTAAAAGTACTTAACACTAGGGCCACATCTAATTGGTGTCCCTGTAGCCTTGTTTAGGCATGTGACTACATTTTGGTCTGGAAATCTTATGGTTATATTATTATTTTAATTCAGACTCCCATTATATTAAAAAACATGTGCAAGGCAGGCCTACTGTCTTATTCTTTCACGAATACTGTTCATGTGAAAAAACTGAATTATTTTACAAGACAGTAGAGATCAATTGTCAAAAAGGGAAAAGTGTGAATGAAAATCCTGAGACTGTTGTAGTCCCAGTCCCTTTAGCAATCCATTACTATAACCTCTGTACTTAGTCTGAGTATGGTAACAAGAATCCCAAAACAAAAACAAAATCCCCGAGAAGTTTCCATCAGCCCAAAGTTGATATTTTGATGTGTACAGAGAATATCAACTACAGTAACCTATGAAGACTCCTAGGTAAAGGAATTGGATAGAAGAATGGAAGCAAAACTTCTCCTTCCATTAGAGTGGAGCTACATTTTTAGTACCTCTGTTATACTGTTTTCCACTCACTTACATTTAGAGAAAAAATATTTTCAATGTACAGTTAGCAAATAATTAAAAGCAAAACCTCATGACAAGCATGGTCAATGTTTTGACAACTGTATCTCGAACAAGTGCAAGAAACTATTCTTTGAATAAGCTATGTGGCATGGGATACGCATTTCACAAATTAATCATCCTTGGCTCTTAAAAAATAAGTCTAGCACAGCATGAACTGTAAAACTATACCAACAAAAGTGTTTCTTGAAGCCCAAAACAATATTTAAAAGTAATTCAATAAAAAGGCATTTAATGGAAACAAGTGGCAAATGGGACAGGAGCCTTAACAATATTAACAGGTTTGTACAAACAGCCACATCCACCCAAAAGTATAATCAAATAAAGTAATAGTTATGTTATAATCATCAAAACAAAAACTCTTTCCCTGTCTGCTAAGCCTTCAGACTTCTGAAGTGAACCTCCGTGCCAGATGTAAAATCTGGCTTCCCCTCTTCTTTACCTGGCTTCCACTGAAGTAAGACTGCATTTTTTGTGTTCATGTGTAGTGTAGCAGAGCAAGGAAGAAAGATCACTGACTTCCTAGATTGAAGGAAGAAAATTTGCCATGACAGTAACTTTTCACCAGGCACATGTGCTAAATATGGACAGATGCTCATCATGTGTAAAGGCTGACCGGGAACTTCATTTATGGTTACAAGTCCCTCCATTCCTTTTTGCCCTGGATGTTCCTTCTACAGCCCGCACTATACACACACGTTATAAAGTTTACAGTGTTAGGTGCAAGTTACAGAAGAAACGCTCTCACAAGAAATGGTGAGCAGAAATGCACTTGAAAATAGATATTCAGCTGCCGGTTGGCAGGAATGGATGAAGAGGAAAAATAGTGTATGCCTATGAATGTATGCATTTGATAGCACTTTGACATTCAAGGAGCTGAGGAACACTGCTTAGACATCCCTCCCTTTACCTTTGCATTTTTAAAATAAGGCCCCACTACTCCATATCACTCCCTTTCACACCACTAAACTAGCAGAAGGATGAATTACTGTAGCAGGTGGGCCAGTGTGGTTATAAAAGCAATGTAATTCAATCAACTGTACAATATCATATTTCCAGGAAAGCAAAAGACGTATAGACCAGACCCTGATTCTTAAGCAATCCTAATATTGGCATTAAAGTGTTCAAGATCCCACAGGGACCATTTTATCTTTTGACCCTAAGTTTTAATTGAAACTTTAAACAAAATATATTACCTATTTAATTCAACTGAGCTGGGCTCTGGCCTTTGTAGTGCATGTTGTAATGCCAAGCAAGTTAATCTCTGTAACCTTAGTATGTACTTTTTAATTTATACCAAAGATGAATTCCATAGAGAAAACACATACCAAGCCAACAAGACATGGAATCTTGAATAATTATTTTTGATTTCAAAGTTTTAATTTGTATTTGTTTTGTGATTTAGAGAAAAAAAGAATAGGGTTTTTTTTTCTTGGTACAAAGCCAAAAATCCATACGGTTCCCTTAGCTTGGTTACTGCACACCTGGCCAAATAAATCAAAATGATAGAGGACCAAAACCTACATTGCAAGTTTTCATACATATGAACCTTGAACATCAGATGCAGATCTCTTGATTTTCATACCATGGGGCAAATGCACAGCTCAATGGATTGCTTGGTCCTTTGGGCCAAACATTCCTTATATGTTTAAGACGCAAGCGTATTTTTTTGGTTTTTAGCAAAAAGGAGTCATCTGGGCAGACTGGCACAATGGAGGAGTGAGTCACCACTGGCTTGCCAGAAGAAAAAGCCAATAGAAGTGAGCACAGGAAAGTACTGTAACACAAACGGGGAAAACAGGTCGTGTAAAGGCTTAGCACTGTTGGAGTGTTAATGCTACTGCACTTAGAGATCTGGAGTTCAAATCCTAATTCAGTATAAACAGCGAACACTTCTGTTTATACTCCTTGAGTATGTCATGTATAGCATATGGGGAAAAGGCTCCACAAAAATCTCCATAAACTGCTGGAATAAGAGTTAACAATGGAAAGCAATGTAAATGAAACATTTTTCTCAAGTTGCAAAACTGTATCCTGTACTGCAAACTAAAGGTGACAAGCAGCCAAGGTTTACAATTCATCAATCCCAAAGTCATCTGAAGAGGACTGTCCTTACACACACTGTATTCTCAGATTAAATAATTAGCAATGGAGATTCTTGCTTACACAGAGCAGATCTGAAATAGGGAAGGACTTCTCTTCCTACACGTACTGAGAGTATTCCCAGGTTGTGCCCTCATCTGCTCTAGGGCTAAGTATAGACAGTCAAAAAGCCTGAGCTGAATTGATTCAATCTTCACACATTTTTCATTCTGGAAATGCAGTCACATGCCTGCAATGGCCCAGGCCAGAAGCTAGGGGACTCTAGAACCAGAGACAACCCCAGCAGGGTACGGGGGCCGGGGCAAAGCAGCCTGCGCAGGGCCCTCCTCCCCATCCCATGGCACACTTACGCCAGGGAGTGAAAGCCTTGGCACACCGGATGCGGTGGGAAGGGTGGCTGCTGGAACTTCCAGCTGGAACAGGCAAACAAATGTCCAACCT